GGCTACGGGCATGGGATGTTTTCTGACTGGGGTCAACAAGCTTTATATGTTTCGTCTCGTTTGGGGATTAACTGGCATCACAAAACGTTATGGGCATGGGTTCACAACGGGGGGTGGTGGGGGGAGGAGTAAGTAAATAAAAACATGAATAAGCTGGCAGCCCTACTGATGTGACCTTGTGAAAGGTAGTTACCACCTGCAATTCGCATTGGAATCACGTGAAAGTGAGTACCTAGCTTTGGTTAGGGACGTCCTCTCGGATAGGACGCAAACCTGGAGGTCCCGTGTTTCAGTAGAGACACACCAGCATGTTAAAGAACCCACCGCACTTCGAACAGAGTAGTGTTCCCATTGTGTTGCGTAAAATCGGACTGCAAGTTTTTCTCCACTCAGACCGATCCGAAAGGACGTCCCCAACCGAAGCTAGGTACTCAATTGCACCTGAATTGAATGAAGAATTAGGTGAAAAGTGCCTTTCCTAAGAGTATAACAGTTGGGGTCTCCCAGGGATTCAAACCCAGAACCTTTACATCAACATCCCTAACCGGAAGACCACCTTCCCAACCCAATCACTCAACAAAACGGAAAACCCTACTGGGTTCCCTCCCCACATCTGCTTGGAGATTTATCAAAGTGCACCCTGGTTTGAACTCAGGTGACCTCACTGTCAGTATATGCCTTAACCTTACACTAACCTGCTGACGGTTTCTTACTCTAAACTAATAAATTTATAAGACGTTCCAAAACATCAGACTCCGTGCAGATTTTATTTATGCTTCAATGTGGCAGACGAGTCTAAATATTTGGTGGACCGCTCGGTGCGTAAGAAAACATTTCTTCTGAGACCACCAAGAGCGAAACGCGCAGAAATTATTGCTCTTTGTTCTGAGTAGTAGTAGAGAGCAAAGTCGGCTGTGGTTGGCTGGCGTTCGGCAAAGTTGGCTACTGTTGGGCTGCGCCATACGAATGTTTATAACTATTTGAAAACATTTGGGAGTGGACGAGAGGTTGGGCCATGGTTGGGGAATGGTTGTCTTGTTGTTGGGAGTATTGCGCAGCATTAGTTGGTGCGTGGTTGGCAGTCAAATTTAACTCAAATTCGACTCGATTCGTATGGAAAGGTAGGCTTGGCCTAAATCTGGTAATCACACTGCTCCCGAACGTCAGCCATTCCCAGGTGTGAATGAGTACCTAGCTTCGGTTAGGGACGTCCCTCGGATAGGACGTTAAATGGAGGTCCCGTGTGTGGGAGGGCCACACCCCACGCACGTTAAAGAGCCCACCACACTTGAAAAGAGTAGGGGACCTTCCCGGTGTGAGTGGTTCAAATCTTACAGTCCAATGGCCGCACTTGGGGTCCTATTGAGATCACCCGAGTTAACACCGAACCCTTGCGATTAAGCCCCAATAATTCTAAGCTCCTCACCATTCAGCCGTTGGCTGCGAAGAGAGAGTAGCGGTCCCACCCAATACAAAAAAACCTTGGTTGTTTGGTTGGTGGTTAGGGGAGGTGAGGTTCTGCATGTGTGACAAGGGCTTAACCTTCATCGGCAAACTAAATAGTTGTAATGATGAAGTGTGTTACTCGTCAACGGATCAGACTAAGTCTCTGTTATAAATTAGTCACGGATTAAATAGTTCTCAACCAGCGGCTGCCTTGAAGTCGTCTCGTCGCTTCCTTCCCACGAGATGTGTGCCAAATACCTGTCGTAATCGTCAGCTTCCATCGTCTTAACATTCATCAGTGCGTTCTTCCACTATCTTTCGTCTCCTGTCGTGTTATTCCAGGGTCTCTGCCAAGGATGCCATCGCCCCCGTCTTATGACATCCAATGCGATTTCAGGGCAGCAAAACTGGAAATATTCTTAATGAGGCTATCTGTATGATATTGGCATATTTCAATCAGCATTTCATACTTTTGACATTTAAAACTGCAGAAACAAGCCCCAAGATGAGTCCTTCATTTTCTGGGTGGTACCCTAAAAATCAGGCAAAAGCCCTTCCAATGACCATTTTCCATACGAATTTTGGCTATTTTTTCTTCATGAGGGTCAATATACATCCTTCATTTTCTGGTTATATACATTGGGGCAACGTAGATAATTGAGCAGAATGGCACTAGGTGAAATGTTAAGAACAGAAAACCAAGAAGGGTGGAGAAAAATGGTTGTCAGATCATGTGTGATGCCCCAATGTTTGAATAATTATACTAAAGGATTGATGAGATGAGCATCAATCCAGGGTCTCTGCCAAGGATGCCAACGGCCCCGTCTTATTTAAGGATTTGGTGATCCCGATGATCTTTTGACTTCTCTCCAACATCGTTTTCGGTCATATGTCAAATCAGGGATTAGTGAAGAGGGCATGCAACGGAATAGATGGAAAGATAACACCAAAGATAACTGAGTAGAATGGCACTAGGTGAAACGTTAAGAACAGAAAACCAAGAAGAGTAGAGAAAACTGGTTGTCAGATCATCTGT